AACAAAAATCATCCAAAAAGCTAGATTGTAGTTCGAATTTCAAACATGGCCAAAAATCTTCAAAAGTTTGAAAGCACAATCAAATGGCTTCAAAAAAATTTGGAAAAATATCCATAATTCTCAGCAAACCTAGTTGATTCTACCATATAAGTTTCAAAAAATTCTGACAAAGTTCAATGCTGACGTTAGAAGCCATTGTTATATTTTGCGATAATTTCTGACGATTTTTGACAACTTTAGGGCTTCAAATCTGAATTGAAACTCTGATACCAAGTTAGATTATGAAGTTTGAGTTTAGAAAAGTGGAAGAAGAAATAATAAGAAGAGAGAGATCAGATTATTGTGTAGGGTTACGTGTAAATCACACAACTAATACCTAGCTTATGTATAAACTACAAAGTACTATATTACCCTTAACCTAAATATAAAGCATAACATAACAAGTTTCTTGCAAGACAACAATGTCAGGCCTTACTCTAACCAAAAAGTCCTTGATTTCACTCCTTTTCCTCCACGATCTTAATCTTCTTACATACAGAGTAACAATCTTCATGACAATCTAACCCTTCTTTCCCATCCTTTCTAGAATTTCTACCTTTATAATTAATCCTCGAATGTAAATTCTTCAATTTTCTCATCCCCTTTTTCTTGCTCTCACCTCCCTTCTCGATTTCTTTTTGGATGGAACAATTGAGGAATCCATTTTCTCTAGAAAATTCTTCAAGATCATCCACTTTTTTTTGTCAAACATAAACAACCATCAACATCACTAGTATCCCCTACCAGCTCTATCCTCTATCTCCTTCCCTCTTTACCTATAAAGCACGGATATGGACATGAGGCATGGAAACTACACAAACACGGACACACAAATATGACTTTTTTTAAAAAAAAGTAGGATACGGACACGTCGAGAACAAGTTGAATAAATATATTCAAAAATATATTTTATAAGCCTATATAATATAAGCACAACAGTTTTGGATCAAATTAGATACTAAAACAACCAAACCACCACATTATCATTAAATATCAAAGCCATTAAATAACAGTGAGCATAACGAAAACATTTTTTTTTTTCCATTTAATCATCGTTCAACATTCATAGTTCCACTTTTTTACATCAAAATAGTAAACATCCAACACTAGAAACATTTACAAATATACCAAAAATAAAAACATTGTTCATGCCATTCAAACAAAAGGTCCCATTTTAATAAAGATCTTTAAACTTCAATTGCCTCACCACCACTAGGACCACTGCCACCACCACCACCACGAGCACCACTTTCTCCTCTATTACCATTCTCATTAAAGACCATGTTCTCCAATTCTGGTTCATCAAGTGAAAGTTGTGCAATCTCAAGCTTTCCTGCATCTTGAAATGAATCAAAAGCATCTCCATCAATATCCTACATCTTAATTTCTCCTTGCATATATTGTGGGGTTTTTCTTGATAGAAAACAAAGATTGCTATGAATGAAGACCAAGTTTTTGGCATGTTTTGGTGTCATCTTATTCCTTCGAACGGAGTGCACAAAAGAATAAGTACTCCAATTCCTCTCACAACATGATGAAGAAAAGGTTGCAAAAGTAGTTTCAAAGCCAAACTCCCCATGGGCAACCTAGCAATTTTTAGGGTCCATTCCATAGCGATCATGGATTGAGTTAATATTCCCAAATTCTCTGGATTTCGGTGAGAAATTGCCAAATTCCTCATGCACCTTTGCACGATCTTGCCGAGTAGAAAAATATATTTTTATGCATTTTACTCCTTCTAGAGAAACCTTCATAGTTTTGTGCAGGGGAACTCGAGTAGGGTCCTCATGAAGCCATTGATCACTATAATACCTTAATAGGAGAAAAGAAGGAAGAAGTAAAGTATGATTAAAAGGGAAAAAAATAAGTTTTAGAATTAAAAATCACCTTGGATTTAATGAATGGGCAAGACAATGGAGGAAAATGTTGTTTTTATTCCAACGATCAACAAGAATTTTGTGCACCACATAGTAAAATGTGGATGCCGCCTCCACCTGCTATCTTTCATGCTTGTATATTGCAATCCTCACTTTTTCTATTATTGTATCTCACATGTTATATATCAAGTGAAGACAAGGCTTGTCCGTATCATATCATATGTAGTTGTAAATGCAAGTATGCAATCAATAGAGTCCCACCAAATGTCATCCAACACCTTTTCTTTGACAAACTTGGCTTTTCCCACATCATATTCTTGATAGTTACTCCACCTCTCACTAAAAGCCATAGCTTGAAGAGAACCTTTATGAGCTAAAATCTTTTAAGCATTACAAGCAGCGAGGCAAAACGTGTACTTAAAATAGAAAGCAATTTCAAAGGGACAAATTCATTGAACATTGTCAATCTCATGGAGTGATTCATGATTAAAGTCTTAATAAACATAATATCATCCGCAATATTCGTAATATCCATAATTTAAGAACACTCATCAAAGGTTACTTGATTTTTTTCAACATTCTTTGTTGCACAAATATTTTGCAAAGTAAGGTTACTTGTGCGAATCGTACATGGTGTCCAAACAATATTAGAATATATTCCTTCAATGAGATGGAATGTAGAATCTCTCCCATAGGGTATAACAGCTGTCCCACGATTTGCTGGAGAGTAGAAAGGCCACCGGGGTGAACAAAAAGGCTCGCCAAACAAAACCCCTAGAACATCTCGCCTCTGTTTTTTTTTTATGATCTTCCCTCAACTGATGAGTCTTGAGAGATATATTTATGGGAATAAGTTTTTTTTTTTTTTAATCCTTAGTTGTTGGGCTTTTTATTTTTTGGCCCTTTTACTTTTAAATAACTACAAAAAAAGACCCCGTGTTCTAATTTTAAAATTGCAAAATGATCCTTAAACGTGTCTGTTGCCTGTTCAAAATTAAAAAAAAAATTAATAATAAAATAGGCACTCTAAAATAAAGTGTCCGAGCATGTCCCAAACATGTTGGATACAGATCCGCGAGTCAAAATCGAGTGTCCGTGTTTCATAGCCAAGAACCATGACATACAGTAGCTAAGGAGGTTACAACTTCTAAAGTCCTAGGTATAAGATTAATCGTGGCAGACCTATTACCAGTACTTGCATTCAGATCACTACAACCAACTAATAGTACATCTAAATGGAGCATAAATTGGGACATCCAAGAAAACCTTGGAGTCCATTTGCTCATGGGTAACCAACTCCTAGTGAACGCTAGCTCACATGAGGATTTAGACCTAAAGTTCTCCCATCATCACAAACAACTACCCTCTTGGAATTTGACAACTCTCCCTTAGAAACTCCTTTTCCGTCCACAGACAAGCCCAACCCAGAAAAATCATTCCCACATAGAAGCAGCAGAAAGATTTACCCTCCTTTCCAAGCCCATCCAAAACCCTGGACATATCCAACGTCATTAGACTAACTTGCTTTGGTTTTGTCCAGTTTACAGAAGCTCACCCTCTGAGAGCCCAAATCCTTATGATTTTTACCCAACCCAAAATCTGTTTAAAATTTAAATTATCATTCAAGCCCCAACTACCTCGGTATTTAACGCATTTAACATTGTTAATTGTCTCATTTGACACCTCTTCACTAGTAATCATCTCCTTACTACTATTACCCGTATTTGCACCCTACTTTTATACATCTTCCTCTCTATTTGTGCCATGTACCCCTCCATCCCTCTTCTGATTGTCTTCAATCATGTGTATGATTACCCAACTTTTGTGCACCCTTCCCCAACAAACTTCATATGTTCCTCTCGACTGAAGCTTTTGGTGTTCGAAGAAACCCTAATTTTAATAGAAAAGAGTTCCCATCAATATCAATGGTCCAATTTATCTTGAAACTCCAGATTTTGGCTTCTGAACCCGAATTCTTGCTTGAAAAGGATTTTTGCTATTCTCGGTTTGATGATCAACATTGATGAAACCATCACAACAATCTCCAATTTTCTTGAAAAGTTCACAATGCAACATATGAAATGGTAATCCTTCAATCACAATCCATCCACCCATAAACGACACCTTGCTTTTACTTGAATTAGATTCTGGTCATCATCTCTGCAATTTAACAAGGACAAAAGCAATCAAGAACCATCTGTTCATCCTACAAATATCCGCTGCCTTCTTATCATCAATGGGGAAAAAGAAAGCCTTGTCCGCATGGAAAGACTTTAAGATCACGTTAAATTTCAACATTTTGGACAATTCACTTGGAATCATCCTCCATGGATGAAATAAGCTTTCTTTAATGCTGACCGCAATAGACCTCCATCTCTTAACTTTGTAAGTATAACTTCATCTCCTTTGATGGTACTGTATTCCTTTTGAATGATAAACTTATTATTAGAACGTGCCTTTGCCCCTCAATAGTAGTTTTCCCCTATCAAACTCCTCCTCCCCAGTTTGTTGAAATCCTATATTACTCTTTCAAGCAAACTCTGAAAAGCTTTCCATCCCCTTCCTTCAACACCCTTAGGAATGATCAATCCCATTCTAATATCATTATTCAGCAACTTAGTAATTCTAACAACATCTCCGAATCTGCTAGATTCGAATTCTACCCATGAATGAAACCATTATCCCTTTGTTTTCTCAAAAACACCTCCTTTCTATTCCATCGTGTACCATAACCTATTGTTTCCTTCAACCATGCCAGTCCTCCTTTGTTGAAGTTGCAAGAAAAGAATCCAAAATGATTCTCTTCTATAATACGATTTAACTTATGTTTCTTCTAAGAAATTCTAGTAACATGTTAGTCGAAGCTTTAAACCTATGTCATCCGTGAAGAATATTGCAGAGAAAAAAGAAGTCACTTTGAGGTGTGTAACAGTGCAAAGAGTGACAATAGTATAGAAGTTGCTTTTGTTTGGTGTTAAGACTAAAATGTGTGATTCTTGTTTATATTGTGCCATAACCTTTGCAAGAATCTACTGATATGTAGTTACACTCTTGCAAACATTACATTCTAAGGCATCAATGAGAAGAATAGTAGATTTCAATGCAAAACATGGCGCATGACCTTCTAAGAACTCTTGAACATTCCCTACATCACTGCCTCAACCATTTTATATCTGGATGATAACTTGAAACTGAGTGCTACAATGATGTTTCACCAATCATTAATAGTAACAATGTTACATCTACAAGGATGATTAACAAAGTACAGATAGGTAGAATTTTCGGTCGTCCAGTGCATGGGGCTCCAGTCCACCTTTGTGGGGTCTGGGGAAGTTAAGATGTATGCAGCATTATCCCATGCATGTAGAGAGGCTGTTTCGGCGACTTGAACACCGGATGCCCAGGTCACAATAGAGTGACCTTACTATTGTGCTGCTAAGGGCCGGGGGAGGAAATTTGTTGACATTAATGTATGCTGGTTCCTTTCCACTTATTATACTAATAGAAACTGGGAGGTTGAATTATTTTGTTTTGGTGAGAGGTACTGGTTGTGAGAGGCTTGATGATTTTTCATTAGAATAAAAATCCATAGAAAATTCGCAGAGAACAAAGTGACTGTTCGAACTAATTATAACTACAGAAAGATGGAGATGTGTCATTTCTGTTGAAACTCTCGGTTCATTGTTTCATATCCCTGTTTTTAATGTGGTTCTGTGAATGTTACGTTTAATGGGTGCATCAATTGTGCATGTAATGCTAGAATTTTACAGGAGTTGGGAGGCTGTTATATTTCCCTATCACTTTCTAGAATGCATCGATGGGTTGTGTGAGTAGATAAAATTTGAATTGGTAATGTCCATTTGATTATATCATTTACATTCTATGATTATTGGTGGGTTCGCTTCTTATTTTGGATTTCTATCTGCTGAATCGTCGTAACAACCCCTTTCTTGCTTCTGCTTGAAATGCAATGCATAAATTCATTTTCATGGAATCTTTTCTGACAATTCTTTCCCAACCTTTTTATAGAATGAGCTTGAGTATGGGGCTGAGGATCCTCCGTTGTCCCCTAGGCTACCATTACAAAACCATCACTCTCAAACTGCAATGCATTTAACTAATTCGGGCATCCCAGTGACTTCAAATTCATTTGGTCCAGCAACTGGTGGGCAGACAATTCGTTCAGGGCATTCTGATCAAGTTAAGAACTCTGTCTTCTCGAATGCCTTGTCCAGCCCTGTTCGTCGGAGCCTCCAGCACTATCACTTGACTCAGGGAGGTCACTCTTCAAACAATGTTATGTCATCCGGAAATGGAGCACGAAATATTGAAAATGGATATCTTCACCACCAAAACAGAGATTCCAATACCCCCAGCTCTAACGATTCTTTGATGGACATGCATGCTGATAGCCCTTGTCACGAATCTCCTTACTGAAATTCCGGTTATGCTTACAAGAAATTTAATTTCTCCGAAGGAAAGAATGTAGTGTGGAGTTGTGCTTACAGAATAAACATGCAGGGGCTGTGGAAAACAAAGATACACTCTGCTGCATCTGGCGAGCCATCACTACTTTCCCATTTCTCTTTTCTCCCTTCAGAATGTGCCAATCTAAGGTCTGTTAGTTTGAATGGACAGGTTATGGTTTCTCTCTGTCGATTTTATTCTCTTTTCTAGCGATTTCTTTTGTGACTTCTGGATGATGTGCTGCTAAACAATATATTTTCCGTTGTGAAGACTCCTATTAGAATTATACCTGGTTAGCATCGTGTGGGGTTGGAATCTGTACTATCTAAGATCTAAGATTCATGTCTCGACATGTAAATCTTTGTATTTACTTTGAATTGACGTACCATCATCTGTGAAGTGTTTGAGATCGTGGTGCTTTTAATTTCTGTTCCATGAGGGTAATGTTAATGAAGGATCAAAATTTCATGATTGGGTGACACTGAACGAATTAGTGACAAATTTAAAGTTCGCATGTTACAGGATGGGATGTTTTGATCAAAGTTTTGGAGTGTTTTAACCAACTTATTCGGCCAATGGTTTTGAATTAGTATTTTAAAATTTATTTATTTCCATTGTTCCAAAATGTTGGTGAAATGTTTTTGAAACATTTTCATTTGTTGAGACTCTTGATTCATTTTAATTATTTGGCCTCGTATGAAATCTTTGATCGACCGAGTAAATCTATATAATAAAGCAGCTTATAATTTAAATTTTAAAAGATAAACAAAATAATTTTTGTTATTCGCTGTTGAGATCGTTTTAAATTTTATTTTAAATTTAATCTAATGATTAATATTAATACCTTAAATTTAGTAGAAAAAATAGAGGCCTAAGGGGTAAAGGTGTGTTTGAAGTGATTTTTTAAAAATATTTTTAAAAATTATTTTTCATAAATATTTAAAAAAAAAATAGTGATTGGAACTGTCTTACGACTACTTCTACCACTACTATTGCCACCATCACCACCGTCATCGTTGTCACCATTGATGCCACCACCACCGCCATAGCAGCCATCACCACTGCCGCCCCTGCCACCAAGGTCATTGGCACCCACCACAATCGTCACCGTCTCCTACCACCACCACCACCACCACCACCCACCACCTCTCACTCCCACTATAATCGATACTTAAATTTATTTATCTTTCCTCTATGTTTGTGATTTAATTTTGGATATAAATACAAATATGTTTATTATTTTTTATTTTTTATTACTCTATACCTTCAGGCACAGATNAATTTTGAATATAAATACAAATATGTTTATTATTTTTTATTTTTTATTACTCTATACCTTCAGACACAGACAATAACTAGTATTTAATATAACAGTTATACAACATCAAGTATATTAAATAATATGACTATCTATAATATAAAATATAATAGGTTTCAATAAATCAAATTCAACAGTCTTAAATAAACTCGTCCAACAGTTACTAATATCTTTCTGTAAATCGTGTACATTGAATTTTACTTTTTTATCTTTACTCTCTCGTTTTGGGATTTTCACTTCTCATTTTTTCAAATAATTGATTGGTTTATGTTGCATCATATTTTCAAATACGAGTTACCTCCAGTTTAATAATAATTTTGATGAACATGCTCATGTTCAATGACCTTTTCCANTTTGAATTGACGTACCATCATCTGTGAAGTGTTTGAGATCGTGGTGCTTTTAATTTCTGTTCCATGAGGGTAATGTTAATGAAGGATCAAAATTTCATGATTGGGTGACACTGAACGAATTAGTGACAAATTTAAAGTTCGCATGTTACAGGATGGGATGTTTTGATCAAAGTTTTGGAGTGTTTTAACCAACTTATTCGGCCAATGGTTTTGAATTAGTATTTTAAAATTTATTTATTTCCATTGTTCTAAAATGTTGGTGAAATATTTTTGGAACATTTTCATTTGTTGAGACCCTTGATTCATTTTAATTATTTGGCCTTGTATGAAATCTTTGATCGACTGAGTAAATCTATATAATAAAGTAACTTATAATTTAAATTTTAAAAGATAAACAAAATAATTTTTGTTATTCGCTGTTGAGATCGTTTTAAATTTTATTTTAAATTTAATCTAATGATTAATATTAACACCTTAAATTTAATAGAAAAAATAGAGGCCTAAGGGGTAAAGGTGTGTTTGAAGTGATTTTTTAAAAATATTTTTAAAAATTATTTATCATAAATATTTTTAAAAAAAATAGTGATTGGAACTGTCTTACGACTACTTCTACCACTGCTATTGCCACCATCACCACCGTCATCGTTGTCACCATTGCTGCCACTACCACCGCCATAGCAGCCACCACCACTGCCGCCCCTGCCACCAAGGTCATTGGCACCCACCACAATCATCACCGTCTCCTACCACCACCACCTCTCACTCCCACTATAATCGATACTTAAATTTATTTATCTTTCCTCTATGTTTGTGATTTAATTTTGAATATAAATACAAATATGTTTATTATTTTTTATTTTTTATTACTCTATACCTTCAGACACAGACAATAACTAGTATTTAATATAACAGTTATACAACATCAAGTATATTAAATAATATGACTATCTATAATATAAAATATAATAGGTTTCAATAAATCAAATTCAACAGTCTTAAATAAACTCGTCCAACAGTTACTAATATCTTTCTGTAAATCGTGTACATTGAATTTTACTTTTTTATCTTTACTCTCTCGTTTTGGGATTTTCACTTCTCATTTTTTCAAATAATTGATTGGTTTATGTTGTATCATATTTTCAAATACGAGTTACCTCTAGTTTAATAATAATTTTGTTCAACATAATAATTTTGATGAACATGCTCATGTTCAATGAACTTTTCCCNTTTTTGTTATTCGCTGTTGAGATCGTTTTAAATTTTATTTTAAATTTAATCTAATGATTAATATTAACACCTTAAATTTAATAGAAAAAATAGAGGCCTAAGGGGTAAAGGTGTGTTTGAAGTGATTTTTTAAAAATATTTTTAAAAATTATTTATCATAAATATTTTTAAAAAAAATAGTGATTGGAACTGTCTTACGACTACTTCTACCACTGCTATTGCCACCATCACCACCGTCATCGTTGTCACCATTGCTGCCACTACCACCGCCATAGCAGCCACCACCACTGCCGCCCCTGCCACCAAGGTCATTGGCACCCACCACAATCATCACCGTCTCCTACCACCACCACCTCTCACTCCCACTATAATCGATACTTAAATTTATTTATCTTTCCTCTATGTTTGTGATTTAATTTTGAATATAAATACAAATATGTTTATTATTTTTTATTTTTTATTACTCTATACCTTCAGACACAGACAATAACTAGTATTTAATATAACAGTTATACAACATCAAGTATATTAAATAATATGACTATCTATAATATAAAATATAATAGGTTTCAATAAATCAAATTCAACAGTCTTAAATAAACTCGTCCAACAGTTACTAATATCTTTCTGTAAATCGTGTACATTGAATTTTACTTTTTTATCTTTACTCTCTCGTTTTGGGATTTTCACTTCTCATTTTTTCAAATAATTGATTGGTTTATGTTGCATCATATTTTCAAATACGAGTTACCTCCAGTTTAATAATAATTTTGATGAACATGCTCATGTTCAATGACCTTTTCCATCGGACATGCCTCTAAGAGAGACTGCCAACCACCCTGAATAGAGTAGATCAGACCCCAGTCGAATGTTCATGGGACCACTCCAGGAATCTTGACCATGTCAAATTAGTTTTTTTTTTTTTTTTTGTAAAACTAATCGACTTGGAGAGTGAGTTTTGGCACAATCGTAAGGGTTGGTCCACTATGACTGGGGTCTCGCGTGTTCAAGTCAGGGTAAAATAAGATTACTGCATTTGATCATTAGCACTGTGAGAAAAGTTTATACATTGAGTTTTGTCTTTTTACTTTTGAAAGTTACAAATAAATAAGGAAAATATTGTATCAGGGTTGCTTGAGTTGATCAAGGGGTTTGTTCATGTCCTATTCTAGTGAACAATAAATTGATAATTTTATAAAATATTCTTATTAGTCTATTATTGAAAAAAAATGGTTTTGGTATAGCTAACCAAGCACAGTGGCCCAAAGGTAAATAGTTTAAGGGTATTCTTTAGAGTTTCCAACTAACACGGACGCCTTGACATTGTCATATTTCATATAATAGTTGACAATGTGACCGTATGAGTATGGGCGCTTTGCTTCATTCAAAGCATGCATTTGTCTGCATGTAATAAATTTTACCTTGGCGCAAAGAGAGCATAGTTTTATAGATTTTACTCCAAATCTATTCCCAAAATCTATGTGCTTCTCTAACAAAATTTTGACGCCCTATTTATCTTGTCACAATTTAAAAATACTCCTACATTTTGTTGTTTCTTTTGTTAATAAACACTTTTCTCTGCGTTTTGATGACCTCTTTGAATACCTAAGTGGGCATTTGATTTTGGTTTTAGGTTGCGGAGAGGAGGGGAGGTGGGGTTTCTATTCTTCAGCATGACTTGTCAGTCGACATAAAACTTATATGAAATTATGGATATAAGTTTTGCTTTAACAAGACCGGATTTCACTTAATAAATGAATTGACACGAACCTAACTAAGTCAACCTAATATGACATGAATTAAATTATATTATATATAATTTAAAATGAACCGAATGTAAGTTGAATCAATTTTAGCATGACATGAGTTTCTGTTAATCCTTACTAAAATTACAAAATTACAAGGAAATACTGTGGCTCTATAGATTCAAACGTGTAAAAATTCCCCCCTCTGAACTAACCCAAAAAAAGGAAAAAAGAATAAAAAAAAGGCACGCCTGAAATCACATATCACTGGTATAGGTGCATGAACATTTATTTCTTTGTCTAGATCAAACTAGTATTACAAGTATCCATCAGAAAGCAAAAGGACCATTAATTAGCCTTCCGAAAAAAAAGGACCATTAATTATCATCAAAGATCAACCACACAAAAAAAAAAACAAAGATGAAAAGAAATCCAAGACATATAGCACTCGCCAATTCATGTTTGCCACACAACTTTCAATAAAATACACACAGTTGATACATATTTTTGATGAGGGAGAAAATCCAACTAGATAATTCAGCAGCAGAGAAAAGATTGAGGAGAGTAATATCAACCCAGATAGCTCAAGAATCATAATAGGTATCTGTGAATTTGCTCTTGATCCACTTGAAGCTGTTCCTCAAGGAGGTTTTGAGCTTACCTTCCATGGTGTACAGGTTATAGGCAGCTACCCTCTTCCTCCTCTTGACCTCTGGGTTGTCGCCTGGACCGTTGAAGCTATATGACTTGGTTCTGTCCTCAAACTCAAACCTGGCTTCTATATACGAGGGTGAGTAATCTGGAAATGATCTGCTTTTCTCCATGGTAAGGTTGGGGAAGAAAGAGAAAATAACTAGTTTGTTATATATTGGAAGAGAAGCTCACAATGGACCCCATGCAAAACATTATGTGTGCATTAGTGCGCTATGCATAGGCCATGAGGTGACTTGATTAGACGATGAAATATTTGAATCAATCGAATTCAGATTCGGAGTAATTCGAATTAAAATCAGATTCGTTAACTGATCTATTTTTTACTATGGTACAAATGAAATGCATAATATAGGGTTTGTATTGTATTAGTTGTTTGGAGGAATAATACAATACAGAAGAGGGCATGAGAGTTTGATATAAAGAAGTATATCCTACAAGGTCAGTTGAGTTAGTTGAGGTACTCAAGTGGTCCATGAATCCGAAGCCTCTCAAGATTCTTTTTTATTTTATTTGAATTAATAATATTTTTGATTCTTAAAATATATATATTTTTTGTTAATTTAATCCTCATTGTATCAATTTTCTCAATTTAGTCCCTAAAGTATTCAATTCATATCATTTTAGTCCCAAATCAAAAAAATCCGTTAAGTTTTTTGACGGGAGTGAGCATGTGTCATTTTTTCGGATAGTATCACGCGTTCAACATATAATTATTTCGTAAAAGACTTAACAGTTCGTTTACGTATGGACTAAAATGAAACGAATTGAATACTTTAATGACCAAATTCACAAAATTAATACAATAAGAACTAAACTAATAAAAAATATATACTTTAGAGACCAAAAAGTCAATTAACCTATTTTATTTTTCCGAATGACCCAATGTTTGTCCTACCATTAAATATGGGTGACTTTTTTTTTCCTAGAGAGCACAATGGGCGATCTAAATTAGAAGAAAGGGAAAATTTGCGCGTATTAACTTTCGGGTTAAATTTAGTTTTGAATGTGTTTAAATTTCAATTTTAGAAGGATGGCTAAGTAAATTTTAAAATATTTTTAAGTCAAAATTAGGCTACCATTGAATCAGAAAGGTTAAGAAACATTGAAAGAGGTGATATGAGATGTGTTAAAAGTTTGAAAGTATTCCGGAGTTAAAACGTATGATATGTGAAATTCAGGTATAACAAAATTTGACACTACCTTAGTAGTTTGTCCATAACTGTTTATCCCGATGTCTGATTGATCTAATTTTAGACATTAGGAACTAGACTTCAATGATTACGAAATTGTATCTCATAAAAATTTATTGAATCGGCTTCTAACTAAGTAAAGATCCAGTTGGAAGTCTAGAGCAAAAAATCATCCGCGTCAGGACACAAATAGTGCATCTAGACTCACCTATTTATGTCCATCCGAATGAATATATAAGGATTCGGGCAACGAGTTTGGACCGTCGGGAGGCACCTCCAAAGTTAGCCCGATCAATTTTTAGAGTTTTTGNCCGCGTCAGGACACAAATAGTGCATCTAGACTCACCTATTTATGTCCATCCGAATGAGTATATAAGGATTCGGGCAACGAGTTTGGACCGTCGGGAGGCACCTCCAAAGTTAGCCCGATCAATTTTTAGAGTTTTTGTTTCGTTTTTCACCTTATAAGTACCCAAGGGACGAGTTTTAAGCTATTTTAACCATTGTTTCAACCCTAGAAAGTCCAAAGGAGTTGGGGAGAGAAAAAAGGAAGAGATACTGACAGATTAACATGTGGGAATCACATCAACACGCGGTAGAATCATTGATTCGCGGATCAAGGTAGGGATTTTTTTTTTCAAATTAATTCATTAATGATTAGGCTATATATTTATATTTTTTTCATCTCTATAACCCTAATTCTTGATTTACAATCCTATCTATATGATAGATCTTCAACGTTTTATATTCATTGTTAATATATGCTTAAAATCTTGAATAAACACATGATTTATATTCAAATACATGTTTTACATTCGAAAATCATATGTTCTTAATTAAAACCTTAGATCTTGAATATTGCGAACATGAATGTTTCTTTTTACAAACTCTTGCATGTTTTGCTTTAATCATTCTTTTACTTGAGATTTGTGGAGTTATGGATTGTGATATACGTGGATTTTGTAGAAAAGCGTTGTTATTATCTCTTATATGGGCATGCGTGATGAACGTGAATTATACTCGAATTTATATCATAGAGTGTTAGAGGTTTTTCTACCTTGAGGGGTTTGGTGGTTGCCAAATACTCGTAGGGGGTTTGGTTTCTTACAAGTGTCAACCACTATTTGTTTATGTAGTTTTGAGATTGAGGACTAGTATACTATTAATGAAAAAGTTTTTTCAATGATGAATGAATCAGTAGACTCCATTTCTAAAATGTTTGTGGCCTTGCGGTGACTGATTGGATGGTTTGTATTTTGTGTTTGTTGTGGCTAGACCAGATATGTTCGGTGTGTAGATTCATGTTAGTCTACCCCTATGTAAATGAGATATAATGTTTTAAGATGTAGTTTTACGATTGATTATATTCTGCTACAAACTTTATTGTTTTGTACCATAAACTTGAGATTGTTGTTAAATGTCATTGCTTTATTCAAATTTGTATATAATATTTTACAATTTGAGACTTACCTGTTTTTTATGATTTCTAAACATTGTTTGAGTTGGAGAAGATTTTTCTACTTGACTTGTTTCTCACACTACGATATAAACATTTTTCAGATTTTGGTATTAAAGATGATACAAAACTAGGTGGTAGATTATGATGCTAAGGTGGATCATGATGTAGATTGTTAAGTGGACGTGTAAAAATGCTCTCCTTAGTTTATAGTTTCTTAACTCTGATGAATTGATAATGTCGTGGATATATTTTAGTTAGCTATTGAATAATATTTACTTTAGTTTAAATATAACCTTAGGGATTTATTTATATTTTATTGGAGATTTATCTAGTTAGATATTAACTTGATGGATTATTAATTATTTTAATGGTTTACTAATGTTGTCATGGTTTAGTGGTTGATAAATAATTAATGTCTCCATTTATGAATTTTGGGGGGTTACACAATTTGTGGTTCATGTAGTTAGTTGATTAGAGTTAAGAAACACCTGGGGTGAAGAAAAAGGGTTAAGAGCTATGTTGTGGGTGTCTTGTATTCATCTTCTAGTAGAAAACTAGTTAGGACTTTGTTCTCTTTAGGGATTTGAAAAGGTTGATGCCTTGGAATTCCACTTCAAGTAAAAAATTAATTACAAACTCTATTGTATTAGGACACAAAGTATTTTGACTTTATAAATAGATATAGACAACTCAGTTTCTTTAGGGGTTTTTGGCCCCAGATTTTGGGGAATTTTGGTTATATTCTCTAGGTTAGAGAATTTTGTGTAATATTTTTTTGTTGATAGTGAAACGTTGCTGCNGATATAGACAACTCAGTTTCTTTAGGGGTTTTTGGCCCCAGATTTTGGGGAATTTTGTTTATATTCTCTAGGTTAGAGAATTTTGTGTAATATTTTTTTGTTGATAGTGAAACGTTGCTGTTGTTGCGCTTCGCCCGTGGAATAGGCTTTCGAGCCGATTCACGTAAATTTGTGTTATGTATTTTTCTATTTCCTTAAGAGTATTTATTTGTGATATTTGTTCATAACAAACAGGTATCAGAGATATTGGTTTCAAAATGGCTACAACATAATTCAAAGTAGAAAATTTTAGTGATCAAAACAATTTTAGTCTACGACAGATTCAGATATGTGACGTTGCTAGAATGGAATCGTTTGACAATAGCTGTTGATTATGAAATATTGTGATCAACTTTAATGGAGAATCAATAAGTTTGCTATTGTGGAGAAGGCAGCTCGAAAGTTCACTTTTTGGTTTGATGGCTTGGTGGGCACACAAGTCATGGTGGATATTTATTATGGATGCTTGTTTTCCCTCACAGGATTTGTGGAGAAGGCAGCTAGTTTGTTCGCTTTTGTTTTGATGGCTTAATGGAATAAAAGCCAGGGTGGAGTTTTTTTGTGGGTGTCTTATATTCCACTCCTAGTAGGAAACTAGTTGTGGCTTTGTTCTCTTTAGAGATTTGAAAAAATGGATGTCTTGGAAATCCACTCCAAGTAAAAAAATCAATTACAAACTCTATTGTACTAGGAGACAAAGTATTTTTAGTCTATAAATAGATATTGACCACTTGGTTTCTTTTGGAGTTTTTGGCCCCGGATTTTGGGAAATTTTGGCCTCAGTTTCGGACATTCGTGTTTGGTTTTATTCTTTGGATTAGATAATTTTATGTAATCTTTTTTTGTTGATAGTGAAACTTTGCCACTGCACTTTGCCCATGGAATAGACTTTCAAGCCGATCCTCATAAATTTGTATTTTATATTTTTCTACTTCATTTCAAGTATTTGTTTGTGATCTTTGTTCATAACAAGGCAAGTTGGGACTTTTTAAATTGTGTTGAAGTTTAATTATTGAGTCCTGAATTATCTTGCCTTTCTACAAATCGAATTTATTTTTCTTCCTTACACTTTAACTAACTAAAAATAGAAGTTACTCAATAGAATCAGGACATGAAAATAGGCACACCTAGGTCCTATCCCTTTTGTGTGACATGATGTATTGTTTCAAGTTTCCTTTTTGTTCTCAACATGCATGAAAATCATAAAAATCGGAAGAAGATGTTAGTGTTGAAACGGTTGGGATTAGATAATGCCTTCGCTGGTGGGAAAATAGTAGTGGAGCCCACTAGGCTTAAGTCAATACACCATAGTAACATTTTAAAATCCAATGGCCTTTGAGCCAGCTATGCCAACATGTGCGAGTGCTATCATGCAAAAGGCAATCCGGCTGCCAAAGATTTTCTCATTGAGGTGACCAAATTTTGGAATTAAATTTAGAGTGCAAATGACATGACAGCTGATTGAACTTCTTTGTTTGGTGTTATGTCATTTGGGCCACAATAAATACTCCAAATAATATGATGTCATACCATTTAGACTCTAAATTTAATTCTAAAATTTGATCAGTGTAGCATTACTCTTTCTTATTTAACTTGTGGGTGTGGGGTCTATTGTGTCTCTTTACTTATCTTGTTTATTTCGATATTGAGTATGAGATCCGGCACATTAGAAGGAATGATAAAAAGACCAAATAAAAACTACTTGTAGATTTTATGAAAA